AGCTCAGAAATACATTTTTCTAAATTTTATCGGTATCGGTTCAGATTTGGATATAGCTCCCATAGATAACTTCGTCCGATTTGCCTTTGATTGTGCACCAAACGTCCAATATTTGTCCAAATGAAATGATGAAATTTGGTACTTACGACCGAATTGAGCTTAGAAGCTAGTATACCAAATTTGATCGAAATCGGTTCAGATATAGCTATAGCTCCCATATATACTGTTCATCCGATTTGTTATATTTGCTACCCACAGCCGTAATATGCACTCCATAACAACGATATTCAAAGAAATATATCAAATACTGCTCAGAAATATCTTTGCCAAATTTTATCGAGATCGGTTCCGATTTGGATATAGCTCCCACATATATTTTTATCCGATTTCAAATTAATTGTGCACCAAATGGGCAATACATGTCCGAATTTAAAAGATACAAATGCTTCGGCATATTGTGTCCTTTGAACTTTAAATTATAATTATAAGCATGGCGTGTATGATTGAATTTTCACATTAAAACGTTTAATTGTTATGCGGAGCTCTACTAAATTCGCACAGTGGTGTAGGGTATCATAAAGTCGGCCCCGCCAGACTTTAAGACTTTTTTAACTGGTTTTAAAATTGTATTGAATGAAAGCAAAAAAGGTCGGAAATAGCATCAAATTTTAGAATTTAGATTTGTTCGAATTGGTCACCTTTGGCAGGAATTATGGCATTCAAACGACCAATGACACCGTCACATGCTGCCCGGATGTTGCCCCATTCCCGGCGAAGCGCTTGTTTGAGGTGATCGACACTTTGGTATTTTTTAGTGCAAACCTTGCCTTCCAAAATACTCAGGACACAACAGTCCAACGGATTGGTATCCGGAGAATTTGTTGGCCATTGTGCGCTGGAAATGAAGCGAGGAACTTCATTTTGTAACCATTCTTGGATGGGACGTGCTGAGTGTGATGGTGCTGAGTCCTGTTGGAGTGTCCAAGGTCTTTAATACATACTCCAGAATATTTTCGCGATAATATTCGGCATTTATTCTGATGTCGGTGACGGTCGATTAATACTAGCGGAGAGCGACTAACGGCTGTTATGGCGGCCCACACCAAACTCGGCAGTTCACCACTTTCGGCCAAGTGAAGCAACTCTTTAGCTCTTTTGAGTCTATTTTCTTTCTGTTGCAGTGTAAGTTCTTGCACTTTTTTGAACTTCAATGGCTTTACCCCGAGCTCATTATTCAATATTTGCCGAATGGAATATTGCGATATGTTCAGCTCACTGGCCAATTTACAGCCACTGAGACACGGGTTTCAAGCAAGTCGCTCTATACTTTTCGAACCGTTTCTGTTAATGCTGCTGTTTTCTTCCGTCCATTTCCTCTAATGATAGCCACTTGTAGTTTACCAGACAGATATAAACAAATCACACTATCATACTTGAATTCAATCACAAATAACCTTTATTCTGAAAAATTGTCACCAAAATGCTTTTGTACGCTTGTAAACAATACAATGAGCTGTCACTGGAATAATTTTAACAGCAGTCTGAAGTGGGTTGCAGTTTTCACCCTGTATATGAACAAGCAATGTCTCAACCGATTTTCAACAAATTTTATACATATTATGAATGTGAGGGACCCAAATTGGATGTAACATATGTATGGGAGCTATAGCTATATCTGAACCGATTTTCTCCAAATTTAATGTTCTTGCTTTTAGACTGAATCAATTCGGATTTACTAAAACTCGGGGCTTTTGGACTGATATTGACCATTTGGTGCACAATTAACCCGAAATCGGTTGAAGTTATATATGAGAGCAATATTCAATCTTAACCGATCTTGATAAAATTTGGAAGGGGTATTTCTGGGCTGTATTTGATATCTGAAACCTAATATCATTATTGTGGAGTGCATATTACGAATGTGAGCGGCCCAAACATCAAATTGGATGTAACAAATTCCAAATTTAACGTACTTGCTTCTAGACTGAATTCGGTCGGAATTACCAAAATTCAGGTCATTTGGAATGATATTGGTCATTAATTGCACAACAAATTATAAATCGGTTGAAGATATATATGGTAGCTACATCTAAATTTGAATCGATTCTCACCAGTTTCAATAGAGTCCGTCCTTGGCATAAATCGACTCAGAAAGTGATTCTATGAAGATCCTCCAAAAGTAACTAAGGGTCTATCTCGCTTCCTTCTCCATGTTACAAACAAATGCACAAAGACATTATAACATTACCACAATATGGTGTTGGGTATAAAAAACCCGATATATTCCATCTTCACATCAGATCTTGTGTTAGCAGAAATATTGGAAATAATAGGATGTTTATTTCGCATGTTATAAGAGTCAGGGTTATTCCAAAATTTGACCATTCTGGGGGAGGTACCAGAAGGAGCGGTCCTACATAGTCCGTTTTCACACCATATATTCTTTTAGTAGAATTATTAGGATGGTTGAAATTTAAAGAGAATTGAATGCTCAATTCGCATTTTATGATACTTTTGTGTGAAGTTTGAAGATAATCGGATTCCAATTTCAAATTTTATGAGAAATAATATTGTTAAAAATTTTGACCATTTGTGAGTATTGTTTTAGTACAATTATTGCGATGTGTGGAATTTTAAGAGAATTGGATTTTCAGTTTTCCCCCAATGATAGTTTTGGTTATTAAAAATGTTGACAAGATATATTGTGTTAGTTGAAATATTGGGCTGTGCCGAGTTTGATAGGAATCGGATACCCATTTTGCGTTTTACAAAACGCAAATTGTACCCCGTTGCGGGGATGGCTCCAAAAATATTGGACCAATATTTCTATTCCTCTGATCGATCTATAAGATTACTATGATAACCGATTTCCTTTTACGAAGTATCAGAATTCAAGCGTGTTCCACTTTAAACTACACATACCAGCAAGACCGTTTTAATGCAGTTAAACTTATCAAAAACCCTTAAAGTGATTGAGGCCGTTATATCGTGGTCATACCAAAACTTGTACTTTTATAGACAACTTTATATTACAACAATTGTTATCCATTGCGAGTCTTAAATGCCACATTTGAAAAAAAAAAAATCGTGGGTATATGTGACTTGGATTATCAAAATACCGAACATCGGTGGGTATCGTTATATGTGCGCTATATGAAAACATGGACATAGTTATTCAATGTCCTGCCGACAGAGTGAGAACCCATAAAACTACAAATACCAATTTCAGACCAATTCGTGGAAAAATGTGGCAAAAATCATCAAAATACAGAATGTCGGGAGGTATCGTTATATGGGGGGTATACGAAAACGTGGACTGATTGATATATCTCATTTTCAATACCAACCATCGTAGACACAATACAAATTGTTGTGCCAGTTCGTATTTTCAAGAGTCAGACAGACATCTTTAAATCGACTTAAAATTTTAGGCTGATCATGAATATATATACTTTATGGGGTATACGACGAATATTTGGGAATGTTACCAACGGAGTTAAAGTGTATGGGGGCCTATATGAAGACGTCGACCCGCATAGCCAATTTATGTCATAGACCATTGCGATATTTAAATACGAAACTTGGAACAATTTCGGTGAATAATGTCGCAAAAACAAATATTGAGAAGTACCATTATATTGAAGCTACACGTAGGCATAGGTAATTTTCTCTCATAGATAGTAGCAGCTATTACGAACGTCAAATACGAAATTTGAAACAAATACGGTATATAATATAGCTTAATCCATCAAAATGCCGAAAATTTCGAGGTACCGCTATGTGGGGGCTGTACGAAGACGTGAATCTGCATAAGCAATTTTCTATCACAGATTGTAGCTGTTATTACGAACTTCAAATATAATATTTGAAATAGATCGGGTGTATAATGTCGCTAAAATATTCAAAATACCGTATATTTCCAATATATACGAAGACCTGAACCAACATATGCTATTTTCTGTCACAGTCTTTAATATCCATTACGAACTTCAAATACGAAATTTTGGAATAATTCGGGTGAATAATGTCGTCAAACTCATTAAAATACCGAATATAGGAAGGTATATCTATTTGGGAACTATACCAGAACCTATATATCCCATTTGCAATACCAAAAGTCCTGCAGTAAAATTGTACGATAGGATATTTCTTCTATGTATTAGTCAAAAGTATAGCATATGTATCACAAATGTCTCTAAGACGATTTCGCCCTGTCCGTCCATCCGTCTGGTGTAATCACGCTAGAGTCAAAACGAATAAAGATAGAAAGCTAAAATGTTGCACAGACCTCTCTTTTGTTTGCAAGCAGGTCAAGTTCGAATATGGACTATTTAGGTCCACGATATCGTATAGCTCCCATGTAACGCTATCCCCGAAATTCGCTATTTTGAAGATTTTAGCCACATTTTCAATGGAATTGACTAACAATTCAGACAAGGAGGTCCTTCTGAGTACTTTACCGCACGGAATTTGATGATTTTTCATTGTTCACCGGAGTTGTTTCAAATTGCGTATTGGAAGTTCCTAATAGGTACTACAGCCTAAGACAGAAAATTCTCTATGCAAGCCTTCATATAACGGTACCTCCCAATATTTGATATTTTGACCATTTTAGGTACAATATTCGACAAAATTGTAATTGTGACAAAATTGAAGTTCCAGTTGAGTACTACAGCCTGTGTCAGAAAATTGTCTATGCAGGTCCACGTTGTCGTATAGCCCCCCTATATCGATGCCTTCCTCTATGTGGTATTTTGATGATTTTAGCTACATTATTCACCAGATTTTTTTCAAGTTTCGTATTTAAATATTGTAATGGCCTATGACAAAAGTGGGCTATGCAGGCGCACATCTTCGTACAGACCCCAATATAATGGATATATTCGGTATTTTTAAGATTTAAATAGAATCGTTAACGGATTTACAAATTCGTTCCAAATGGTGGAGGGTATTCATTTTCGGCCGGACGAACTTTCTGCTTTTTTACTTGTCATGTTTCTAAATATTATTTGGTTTGTTCTCATTTGGAATTTATAGAAGTCATAGATTTGGATAGTACTTACCATTTTATTATTTCTCTCCAAAGTGTAGTGCTGATGTCTCTGCAGAGAAGAATAAATAAAAAAACCTTCGTTACTTTTTTGCTGCGAACTTTTTAATTTCAAAATTGTTTATTTAATGAAATCATTGATTAGCACATATCCTCCCTGAGGGATCCGTTTTACAGTGTCCGCAGGAATAAAACCATTTCAACTAAAGTCATTAGCTTAAATAGTTACTTTCCGCATTCATGTCCCTTGACGCCCTCAAACAAACGACAGCTAAAATTTTGCGAAACTTATTTTTTTTTTCGAGTGTACAGCAGCAAAAGGAAAACAAAAACGTATGCATGTCGCTGGATATTTGGGTTTTTAGTGCGTTTTGTACGGTTTTTGTGTTGATGACAACTTATTAAAACAAAAATGAAAACTCATGAAATTTCATTCAACATCAAAGGGAATTTAGAATTACATATCATGGGGGTATTTTTCAGTTTTAATCAAGCTCCATCAGCATTATCATCATCAACATCAGCTTTGTTACAACGAGGACGACGACGACACCGCTTGCTGTTTAGTTGGCTGCTGGGTTTTACTATCGGCTACAGACATTTACAATGTAAAATGTGACAAGTTGTTTTCCTTTTATTCAGTTTTCGGATATTTCGTTTAGTTTTTCCTTTTGTCTTCCCCAAACATGTCGTTGCCTTTGTTAATAAATAAATTCTATTTAAGAGTTGAGGAGAAGGTTTTTTTTTTCAAATTTTATTTGCATAAAATCTTTTGTGAATATTTAAATTCGCTTGGGACAATGTCAGGACTTGGCCGCCAAGAGACGAATATTGACGTTGACAATGTTGTTGTTGTTGTTGTCGTCGTTTACTATCAAATGTCATTGTCATCGTTGGCAAGGACATGATTTTTCTTTTCATCTCGTTTTTTGTTTCTTCTTCAATTTAAAATCATTGACGGAAATAGACACATAGGTCACAAAAGTTCAATGTAACATTTGGAAGCGAATCTCCAATATAATATCACTTCAAAAATAAAAATATTGTTGCGAGGGAAAAATGCCAAGGCAAAGGGCGTAATTGAAGAGCTCAATTGCCACGTTTGAACATTTTATTTTTAGAACTTGAATATTTGCCCACTTGAATTTTTTATAACCGTAATTGTAATGTCAATACCGAACAATTTGAATTTTGTAATAACAATTTTGAAAATATTTTGTAACTCATAAATATTGTGAGGGCTCTGAACCAACATGTTTCAAGGAAACGGAAAATGTACCAAAGGCATTTTTGGAATATATTGCAAATAGCAAAGTCCAAACCTAAGTTTTGTCTCATTTTGTATAGAGTTGCGTTGGGACAAATGTGTAATAGGGTGCTGGCGTAATATCCATTATATTGTACTTAACATTTTTTCCGTGATGTAGGGAATTATTCAGAAGGAAATGGATACCATAATGAAAAGTTCCAAGATTAGCATTATCATGGAACTTAAGCACGTAGTATTATACCCTCCACCATAGTATGGAGGGTATATTAAGTTTGTCATTCCGTTTGTAACACCTCGAAATATACATTTTAGACCCCACAAAGTATATATATTCTTGATCAGCATAAAATTCTATGTCGATTTATCAATGTCCATCCGTCTATCCGTCTGTCCGTCTGTGGAAATCACTCTAGCTTCCGAACGAAATGAAGTAGGTTGATAAAATTCTACGGTATTTTTTACTGTATTGCTGTGTCTGCTGGACTTTTGGTATTGAAAATGAGTCACGTAGGTGCACGTCTTCGTATAGCCCCCATATAACGGTACCTCCCGATATGCGGTATTCTGATGATTTTAGCGACAATATTTACCGGAATTGTTTAAAAATTAATATTTAAAGTTCGTAATACATACTACGACTTAAGACAGAAAATGGGCCATGTGGGTCTACGTCTTCGTACAACCCCCATAAAACGGTACCCTCCGATATTCGGTATTTTGATGATTTTAGCGACATTATTTACCGGAACTATTTTAAATTTGGTATTTGAACAGATACTAACAGATACTACAGCATAAAACAGAAAAAGGGCCATGTAAGTCCACGTCTTCGTATAGCCCCCATATAACTGTACCCCCCGATATTTGGTATTTTGATGATTTTAGAGACATTATTTACCGGAACTATTTCAAATTTAGTATTTGAAGTTCGTAATGAATACTACAGCCTATGACAGAAAATTGTCTGTGCAGGTCCAGGTTTATAACCCCCATGGTACCTCCCTATATTCAGTATTTTGATGATTTTTGCTAATATATAAACAGATTTTTTTAAGTTTCGCATTTGAATATTGTAATAGCGTGTGACAAAATTTGCCTATGTAGGTGCACGTCGTCGTACAGACGCTAATATACTGCTACATTCGGTATTTTTAAGATTTTAACAGAATTTTTAACGGATTTTATTTTTTTGAAAATTGTTAAATTTGTATCAAATGGTGGAGGGTATTCAAGGTTAAGCCGGCCGAACTTATAGCTTTTTACTTGTTTTTCACATCAGAAATATTATTATATGTTTTTACTGAAAAAAATGTCATGACAATAGAATATAGCGACTGCTCTGGCCTTATCGCCTTATAATCAGAACTTTGACAAATTCAAGGTTTGGTGACAAGCCAGTAAGGAAAAGTCAAAAGTCGGGGTACCTCCGACTATATGATTCTCTACACCACTATATATATTTAGTAGAGCTCCCATAACAAAAAAATATATTTGAAGTAGATCATACCACCTTCATTTGGCTTTACAACAGTTATAGTTTGGTTTCAGAGAGAAATAATTTATGGGAAGCATATCCAATTCTGAATCGATTTTCACAAAATTGGACGGAGACATTTTAATCTACTATACCAACTACCATTCCAATAGAGTGCATGATATTACTTCGAGAAGGATTATATAAAAATATTATCGGAGCCGAGCTCCACAAAATGGTAACGCACGTTCCGTGATTCACTCCAGTTAGGCTAATATTAGCCATTCTTAAACCTGAACCTGAAATCTTATTGCGGATATATATGGTAGCTATCTCCAACTCTTAGCCGTTCTCGATGAAATTTGGCAAAGGTATTTCTGAGCTCTATAATATATGTGGTACCAAATATCATTTTGTCGAATGCATATTACGAATGTGAGGGACGTAAACACCAATAGCTATATCTGAACCGATTTTCTCCGAATTCGACGTACCAAAATTCAGGACTTTTGGACTGATATTGACCATTTAGTACACAATTAACCCGAAATGGGTTGAAGATATCCAAATTTGAATCGATTTTACCAAATTTAATTTACTTGCTTCTAGGTTGAATTCGGACGGATGTGCCAAATTTCAGGTCATTTGGACTAATATTTGTCATTTGGTGCACAATTAATTCGAATTAGGTTGAAGATATATATGGAAGCTATATCCAAATCTGTACCGATTTTGATAAAATTTATTAGAGGTATTTCTGAGCTCTAGAAGGTATCTGTTACCAAATATCATTGTTGTCGAATGCATATTACGCGTGTGAGGGACTTTAAATCCCAAATCGGATAAAATATATAGATGGGTGCTATAGCTATATCTGAATTGATTTGCACCAAATTTGAAATACTGATTTCTAGGAAGAACTATTCGATTTGGGCTGATATTATCCTTTTGGCGCACAATAAACCTGATATGCTGGAATGCATTTTACGCATGTGAGGGACCTAAAACCCCAAATCGGATGAAACATTCATATGGAAACTATAGCTATACCTATTTTCTCCAAATTTGATTTACTTGCTTACATGCTGATTTCGGTGGAATTTAACAAAATACAGGACATTTGAACTTAAAATGTATTAAAATCCTATTTAAAGATATATAAATTCAAACTTTGCTTTATTTACTATTTTCATGCCCTTGTGATTTCATTGGCAAATGACTTTCAGCAATTAAAATATCCGCGTTTGAATAAAAATGTTGTTATTTTTCGTACAAAAATTTATTGTACGTTTCATGCGCTAAATATTTTATGATGACAATTTAAAATTACAGTGTTCTAAACAGTTCCACATGCAAAAATCCGCAACGATTGGTCTAGGCAAAGTTAGGGTATAAAAATGTTAAATTATTATTATTTGAAGCTACTATTTAAAAAAGACTATTATCGATTAAAATTCTTCTTTTGAACTGGCCAGAATCAGATTATTTCACATTAAATTGTCACTAACATATTTGAAACAATGCAAAGCGTCTCAAATTTTTAAATGAGAACTACCGAAGTTAATAACGAAACCCTTAAGAGATTGAAAATCATAAAGCCTTTGCACGCCTTGTGTAATACTCAAACCGCATTCTATTTTCTAATTAAGGCTGTTGCATATAAACACCACATAACTCAACCAACCGTTCATTTTCGAAACGCTTCAATCCAAAGAAAACACACATTTCCCTTTAATTCCGCCAAATGCTTTGGGATCAAAAGTTTTCCTACCTAATCCCAATTTTTAGCACTCCAATTTCGTAAAATGGAAAAATTTACAATGGCGCAAATGATGCGTAGCCTAAAAAAAAAAATAATTTTTCAGAATGTAGAATGTGTGAATAGAGCTTGATTGGCATCATAAGGAACATGACACATGATGAACCCCCTCCAGCTCACAAAATAAAACCACCACGATTCAAAATTTGATGTTTGATAAACATTTGCTCCAGCATACATATGTATTATGTTCTCATGTGTTTATGGTTGCTTCATATACATATGAACACACACATTTACTGGGTCCCTCACGCACATACACTCTTACATATATATGACAGCCATATATTATATCAATAACTACATGGAAAACATTTGAAGTTCTTGTCAAAAATATTCCTAACAACACCCAGCATTGGTGGTAGCCTAAAATGGCAAAAACAATGGCATAATAACAACAACGATGATGATGATGGTGACTATGATTACGACGACGATGGTTCCAAGAGCTATTGCTTCCTTGGAAAAAATAGATGACTTGGATATTTC